CGGGAGGTGGAGGTGTAGCTTTCTTTATTAATAATAGAATTAGTATGAAAGTCAAATGCTCATACAAACATATGTCGCCAGAATGCGAAATTTTGGCAGCAGACATTAGATTACCCAACTGCACTCCTTTCACTTTAGTTAATATGTATTTTCCGGATGGAGTTCAAGACACACGAAGTGTGGATCTAGCTACAAAGTCGTGGTGCAAAGACGAAGTTTTAGTTGGAGACTTTAATTCCCACCACACGAGTTGGGGTTTTAGAACTGATCTGAGTGGGAAACGCTTGTAGGAGTGGACAATGGCTAATGACCTGACGTGCCTCAACGTAATGACCTCCACATTTATTCGTAATCACTCCAGGTTGGCCTTAGATTTAAGTTTTGTCAGTTCGGCCATTACTACTTCTTCTTGGAAAGTGCTGGACAGTGGCACCAACAGTGACCACTTACCGACAAGTTTTGAAATTTCTTGCCTGATAATCCATCTTGTTCAAATGTAAGAGTATTTGTAAATGACACTAAATTTAAGAATGATCTGAAGTCAGCACTGGCTTTTCACTCGGAAGAGAGCGATGATACAAAAGCACTGAAATAAACGCAGTCATTAAAAGATCTTACAAAAAAGCCGAATTTACTGTTGTAAATTATGTAATTATGTAACACCCCCCCTGTGGGGTATTTAAGGAAATAAAGTGAAAGTGAAAGTGAAAGTGAAAAGTGAATCCACAAAAAGGGTATATAGCCGTTGGTGGAATGACGAATGTACAAGAGAGCACGGACGACGTCAGGCAGCTTGGAAGCAGCTCTTACATAATCAATCCACCCAAAATTGGGCCGATTATAAATTCATTGCAGCTGGCTTTAAGAGAACGGTAGCTCAAGCTAAACAAGAATATGACAGAAGACATTATGAATACCTGTCGAAGCCTAAACATATGAAAGCACTGTTCCGAAATATGACATCTTGAAAAATCTTGCCATCACCAGTTAATGCAGCTTGTGATAATCTGGTCGGCTCAAGAAATGACCACTACCTTGAGGCAATCGGTTAAGGTCTGGAAAGCAGATTTACTTCAGTAGTGCCAAACAACTGGCACAAGTCTACGACAAAGTCTGACTTTGACGAAGTGACCCAGACTGAAGTATCCAACGTTATTAAACATTTACCTTGTGCGTCTCCTGGCTCAGATGGAATCACAGTACCCATGATTAATATTCTGTTCAATCTATCACCTCGAGACTTCGCCAATGTTATTAACTACTCCTTAAAAAACTCATGGGTGCCGCAGGATTGGAGGATAGCAAAGGTGATTCCTATACTAAAAAATCCGGGTGTAGGATTAACAGTCGATAATATCAGACCAATCTCTCTAACATCTAACATAGTCAAACTAGTAGAGAGGGTCCTACATAGCCGAGTAAGTATCAGGATGGCAGACAATTTAGTAATAAAACCGAACCAAATCGGCTTTCATAGTGGTTTCTCTATTTGGTGTGCCCATGCTGATTTAGAGAGCCAAATACAGCTCGCGCGAGAAAGAAGGCAATACGCTGCTTTAGTAACGCCTGATATAGCCAAGGCGTATGACAGTGTGGAGCACTTCATATTGTAAAATACGCTAAAGAGATTGAATTTCCCACAATATTTTATTGAGTGGGTGGCAGAATTTTTAAAATCAAGAGAATTCTACTGCATCAGGAATGGATGTCCCTCATCTAAATTTAAACAAACGCATGGAGTTCCCCAAGGAGCAGTCATATTTCCAGTGTTATTTAATGTTTTAATGAGCACAATTCCAACAGATCAAGAAGTTTCTGTCTACATTTATGCTGATGACATCGCATTCTTTGCTGCTGATTGTGGTATTTACTCACTACAACTTAAATTACAAATATATATTAACATGTTAGAAATTTGGTTGCAGTCGATTTCGTTATCTTTAAATGTCAACAAAAGTGCGCTCATGGTGTTTCCGCTTGCAGAACCAATTTCAATTTCAATTTCAATTCTATATAAACAGAAACACATCCAACAAGTAGTCTCTATAAAATATTTGGTAATCATTTATAATGACAAACTTAACTGGAGTCCACACATAGAGTATATAACTACCAAAGCACAGCGGGCTTCAGGCTTACTGCACAAGTTAAGTAACCGAAAATATGGGTTACGGAAGCACACCTTGATAACGTTGTACAAGATGTATATGCGCCCTATCATGGAATTCGCTGCATATTAATCTCGGGTGGCCCTGCTTATAAAACGAAACCTCTAGTTGTCTCAGAGCGAGAAGCACTGCGAATGTGTCTGGGACTCCCCAGGGTTGTGGCTATCAACGTACTGTACCAGGAAGCGCGCCTGCCTACACTACTTTGTCGATTTCGAATTTTGACCGTACAAGCATTTTTAAAATTTTATAGCTTACCGGCAAGAAGATCTCAATATGCTTTTATCGCAAACCCAGAAGCCTTCTTTCTTGCTCATTGGCCACGGTTTCACACACCTCAGATAATGTTTGTACAAAAGAATCTACAAAGTATAAATGTGAACATTAGAAATGTAATTGAGACTAATGACTCGAATTGTCAAGTTATAATAGAGCATGATGATATATTCCCCCAAAACGCCAAGTTACAATCTCTCAAATTTTCAAATAACATATTATTAGATTACTAGGAACATGCAGAAACTAAAAATATAATAGCCACAGATGCTTCCGTAAATAATCAAAAGGCAGGTGTAGGCATTGCCTCTGATTCGCTTGACTGGCCCTTTCAGTGAGACTGCATGACTTTACTCCAGTTTTGAAACGGAGCTCGTGGCGATTATTTTAACTCTTCGAAAAATCCCATCAAATCAAAACAACGCCGCCATAATGACGGATTTTCTTTCAATTTGTGCAGCTCTGACAGCTTCAGAGAACTCTCGAATTCTAAGCACATTCACAACATTCGTACCCCCGCAGTTAAGACTCCTGAGGTTACTAAGGGTTCCGGAACACTGTGGATTAAGATTAAATGCATTGGCCGATTCCTTAGCCCGAGCCGCAATTGATGGGCCAGTTTTATCCACACTGCCAGATGTTGAATATATTACGGCAGTAAGATATCGAAAATCAGCAATCTCAGCTGATACGATAGAAAAAGTAACTACATGGACAGAATATAACCACCTGATGTTTCCACTGCAACCCCACTGGAGCCAGTCCAGAAAGCTCGAAGTTTTAATTACTAAATTTTGATGTCGTGCCCCCCCCCCCACCCTTAAACCTGTATCTACACAGAGCTGGTCAGACAACAACATTCCTCTGCGCATTCTGCGGAGAAATGGAATCACTAGAACATTATTTTTTGTATGGTCGTCGCTACGCTATACATTCGAAAATGGTTACTAGTTATTCCATTTCTGAAAATAGGCGTTAGATTGACGGCGGAAACGGCGCATAGCTTTGGTGCCTCAGTTTTGGGACATTGCCACAGGGATGCTTTCGATGCCATTTGCGATTATATTCAGGCAATCAAGCGTATACCTTTGTGACCTTCAATCACAAAAAATTATTATTTATTACTCCCCAGGGCAAGGTGAGGTAAACGCAGCTCAGTGGTAATCATAACACCTCAAATCTCAAAATCGCTCAACTTGACTTTTCTATTTTTTTCTCGTTAGCTCTTTTTATGTTATTTTCCTTATGTTAATCTTATTATAAACAAGTTCATTACACATAGGTAAAATGATCACAGAAAAACTGCACTAGACTTTATTGGCCGATCCCCCTGAGTGGATATGAGCCATCATCCCAAGGAAACAAACAAACAAACAAAGACAACTTGGTCTCAGCTCGCCAGTGAGTCTTCCCAGTCTATTCTTTTCTGTGTTCCTTTTTTCGCCTCGTGCTACACAAATTTCTTTCAAATGTTTCACCAACAAGCCCACATCGCCACTCTTGTCGATGCAGTCAAGGTGAAAAGTAATAAATGTGTGAATTTTTGTATGTTAATTTTGCTATTTGCGGGCATAGAACAGCATTATAAAGTTTGTAGGAAAGTACTCAAACGTGATAATTGACACAATCTGCTGTATGTTCAGTAATTTATAAACTGGTGAATCTGTGTTGTTCGTATGAAAGGAAGGGCACGTAGTGCCGTATTCCGTGCTACTTTTAGAGGATCCAGCATTGTAGGGTATGTCCCTTGAATCGCTATCGAATATGAGATGTGTGAATGTAAGAATTAGTAACATAATGTTATCATTGCCTGTGATGAAAAAATGTAGTGTAAATATTTGGTTTTTTTTCTTTTATACTCACACGTAGTCTCACGAACATACATGCATAGGTTGGCAAACTCACTCATGCGTGAACTCTCACGGACTCACTCGGATCGAGCTGTAAGTCAAAGTGAGTCCAGGTGAGTAGTATTTTCGTGATTTAGAGTGATTCCAAAGCGCCAAATATACTTTTTGAGCGAGTCTGAGCGCGTTCCACTTTCTTTTGCCGACTCAAGCATGCATGTGCCATAAAACTTGTGTGTCCAAGTAGACGCCAAGAAATTTTGTGTCACTAGCCCTTTCTAGTAGTGCATTATCTATTTCAGGATGGTTAATTGAAGTGAGGTGAGTGTTTTTTGGGGAAACTATAGTACACTTACTTTTAGAGCTGTTGGCAAGGAGTTCGTTAGCATGAAGCCAAAACGTTAACCTTGTCATGGCTGTTGCTGTTTTGTTGCATAGTATATTTTTGTTTTTGTTGGCTGTAAATGTACAAACATTGTCTGCATAAAGGATACAATCTTCATATGTGATGAATGGTAGACATTGATATGACGTAAAAAACAAAATGGCCCCAAATCTATTCTTGCAAAATAACTCTGTTCGTTATAGACCAACATGACGACACACCTTTTACATATATAAGTATATATATTTCTAATATTTATATATTTAGACAGAAGTGTTTATGTGGACCCACATATTCTATAGTGTTCTATTTGGTTATTAATGTGTCATTGTAAAGCATATCAAATGCCTTCATGAGGTCAATGAATGCGCCAATTTTAAAGGGGCCCTGCAACACGTTTGGAGTACCGTCAGAAAACGCTGCTGATCTGTAGTACAGACTCCTGAAAACACGCAATCCAAATATTATAGCACAGCACGTGGCCTGGAACTCGCAATAATATACAAAAGTGAGTAATAAGTTGCTTTCTCTTCTCTCGACAAATAGCGGAAAATGCCCAAAAATCACACGTGAATTACTCATCTATCCGCCATTGGCTGATTTTAACATTGCGCGCTTGCTCGTTACAGAGATCGCCGCGGGAGGCCACGACTTGTCCCCGCGTGCGCGCGCGAACACACTGAAAAAGCGGCACACTCGAAGAAAATAAGGTGTTCAAGGCCACGAGGCACATGTGACGTTTTTCTGTGGCCCTGCCATCCCTCCCTGCTCAGCTTCCAGCGCTTTCGTCGGGACGAGAGAGGAGAGAGTGCAATTGCAGCATGCGACAAACCTTTGTAACTCCTCTCGCACTGGACAGTATCTTAAAATTTCGCGACGTTCAATTCGTGGGGCTGTAAGCTTTTCCAATAAATTCATTTTGTGGTTACCTGAAAAAGCATTTCAGGGGTCATTTAAGTTATTCATTTTCTGATTTACTTTTTTTTCAACAATATTAGGTAGAGGATGTTCTCTTGATTTTCCCTTCCCCTCGAATGCATACAAATTATGATTCTCAAAATTGTTGGGTATTCAGCACATTGCCCTTTCAACAACTTTAGTCAATGCTCGCAATTAGTCGTTGGATGATAGTTAGCAACTTTCATCCTGTCACGTTTCATAAACATGTGAATTATTTTGACGACTTTACTTTCTAGGGAAATCAACCTGTTTAAAAATCGTCATTTATGACGTATATGTAATGACTCAGCTAGTAGTGTAGATAAGAGTTTTAGGTTGAACCAATACGCCATCGTCGCCAACCAGTTTAGCGTTTTTAGTGCAAGAATTGCTTCTCTAAAAGTCGTTCTTCGTTGCCGGATGACAAACCTCCATTTCAAGCTTTTTGTGCCGGCCATGAAGGCACTACTAATGTTGTGGCATGATATTGTGTTGCTTGCGGTGCCTACGTTTTCAAAGTGATTATAAAAACGTTGCTTATAAGGGTAGTTTAACCATATTGATATCACCATTATTAATCCCTGGAACGTATTCACCGTTCCTTTCGTGGGGGCTTATTCAGTAACTTTCTGTGTCACCATCCTCTTCTTATTAGCTTTAGCTATTTTCGAACTGAAATAGCCTCGCTTAAAAATTTCCAAAACTTTGCTAAGGCATATTAATTAAGTTATGAATGATATGCCCAATATTTTTATTATATCACTTGTATCTTGCTTCGAGACTGATGTTATGCTGTTGACGCTTTAACATTTTATACATGTTGCTCTTGTGATAGATGGAGTGCAAAAGACCAGCAGTTATCCATGGTGTGCACTTGGAATTAGATATAGTAACAGTGATCGGTGTCTTTCGAACCGTCACGGGTGTTGGCAAAATGTTGATGAATGCGTTATATTTTTCTCGGTTGACCCTGCAGAATGCATTTCTGGCCTGTTTGTTTCTGGCCAAAGAGTGGAAAATTTGTTTTTATTTTGTTATAGGTTATGTAGGTTTGGGCGACTATATAAATGCTTGAAATATTTGGACTAATATTTGAATATTCGAAGTCGCTTGAATTCAGGTTTATTTATATTTTTTTTTATTTGTAGATACTGCAATCCCAAATGAGGTATTATAGCAGGGTGGGAAGTACAATCATAAATATTCCTAGGTGAACAAGAACAAAAATACGGAAGCAAAGTACAGTTCTCGGAAATTACAAAAAAAGGGAAAAACTGATATACAAATTTCACGAATACATGATCAACCATGGCGACAAAGTACAATTCAAAATGTACAGGATAATAAATATTCCAGAAACAGAGTCACATACGCAAGGATTGGAAAAAAACACGGGTGATAATTTTACACAATTTCAAATATATACACATATATACATACATATACATACACACATATGCACACATATATATTATGCAGTTAAACACAAGGCAAACTTTTCAAGTGATGGCTGTAAAACAACGTCATTAGTTAGGTTGTTCCATTCCCCGACTGTTCTCGGGAAAAATAAATACGTGAAGCAGTTATTGCGTGTTTGAAAGGGCGTAATGGAGAGGTTATGGCGATGCCTTGTCGGATACCCAGAGGACAAAGACAATAATTTGCTAGTGTCTATCTTATAGTGGTTCTTAATTAGTTGATATAAAAGTTTGAGACGAGAAATTCGGTTTCTTTCAGTTATTGGTGGAAGATTAGCTCTCGCTAGCAGTACACTAACAGATGTGCGACCATAACTGTTGTATATAAAACGGGCTGCCTTTCTTTGTATTTTTTCAATCTTCTTTTTATTAGTCAACGTAAAAGGATCCCATATAACGACTGCATAATCTAGAATGGGTAGAACTGTTGATTTGTACGCCAGCAAGCGCACAGTGGGAGTGGAGTGCTTGAGAACTCTCCTAAGAAATGAAAGTGTTGTGTTAGCACAAGCTGCAACATAATCGATATGTTTATTCCTCGTCAAGTTGTTTGTAATGTAAACCCCTAGATACTTGTAATACTGCACCTCAGCAAGGTATATATTGTTACAGCAATATTGGAACAAGAGGGGCTCTTTTTTGTGTGAAATGCGCATAAATACGGTTTTTTCAAAGTTTATGGGCATCTGCCAACTGTCGCACCAAGATTTAACTTTTTGAAATGCGGCATTTAACTTTATTTGGTCATTAGAATTTTTTACCTCGGAGTAAATAACGCAGTCGTCTGCATCGAGTTTTATGTTCACGGGTATGTCATTCACAATGTCATTTATATATAAAAGAAAAAGAAGCGGTCCAAGTACCGAACCCTGGGGGACGCCAGATTCCACAGAAACCCTCTCAGAGCATTTATCTTTAAATACAACATATTGCTGACGGCTATGAAGGTAAGATAAAATCCATTTAGTTAACTGCTTGTTTTTGAGTATGTTGTCTAGTTTGAAAATTAATTTTTGGTGAGAAACCTTATCAAACGCCTTTGAAAAATCAATAAAAATCGCGTCAGTCTGCTCACCATTATTAATTGTCAAAGCAAAATCGTAAACGGTCTGAACTAATTGGGTACAAGTAGAGTAGCCTCTTCTGAATCCATGTTGAGACTCGGATAGGGCATTATGAGCAGTTAAAAATTCCGAAATATGATTATGAACTATATGCTCGAGCAACTTACAAACTGTTGACAATAGTGATATTGGCCTATAATTACTAATTTCATCTTTATTACCCTTTTTATGAAGTGGTTTCACTTTGGCTGTCCTCCAATCGATTGGCAGCTGTCCTTCTTTCAACGATTTTGTAAAAAGAATGCAAAGATATTTGGCGACCCATTCAGCGTACCTTTTGAGAAAGGCATTGGGTATTTCGTCAGCACCACCAGATTTTTTTACATCAAGTTTCAAGAGCATGTTGAAAATTCCCTTTTCACTTACGGTAATGTCAGGCATCGGCGGTAATGGTGACACAAAATTAGGCAGTTTGCCATCATCATTAGTAAAGCAGGACTGAAACTGCCTATTGAATGCATTTGCAATTTTTGTGGCATCAATAATTTGGACACCATTAATGGTAAAAGCATCCACATCAGTATAAGATGGGGAAATTGCTTGCCAAAACTTCTGCGGCGAACTAGTAATGAAACTAGGTAATGAAACTGAAAAATATTTATCTTTGTCAGCTGCAACTTGTGTTTTAACTTTGTGAGACAAACCTGAAATTTTGGATTCCAGGTTTACGCAGTCGCCTACAGATCGACGTTTTTTCTTTAACCTCTTTAATTTTCTCTGCAAATGTATAGTAGAACGACTTATCCAGGCATTCACACGTTTGTTTTTCTTGCGTATCAATGGCACAAATTGTTCAATACATTCATGTACAAGTTTCGTAAAAGAAGCCCAAAGATTGTGAACATTTGCATCACTGCGAGAGAAATTATCTAGATGAAACGAAAGCACGTCTATTATAGCTTCGTCATCGGCTCTGAAAAAGTTTCGAAAATACGAAGCTTCGTTAGCTTTGTCGACTTTAACATTGCTGAGGTAAAGGAAGACGGCCTGATGATCGGAAATTCCTGGCATGATTTGAGATGTGGCGTTCTCGAAAATGCTACCGCTTACGAAGAAAAGATCTAGTAGAGTCTTACTGCTATCCTGAATTCTTGTGAAGCCTTCAACAACTTGAGTAAGGTCAAAGGCAAAAGCAATATCAAGCATTGCCTCTCCTACCTTGTCATTACGAATTTTGGGGGACATTGTTAGCCAATCAACATCAGGCAAATTGAAATCACCAGATAGGATTATCCGATCATCAGGTTTGACATGGTCACATAAATACTCCTTCAACACATCCATGGTAGAAGCATCAGAGTTAGGGGGTCTGTACATGGCACCAACAATATACCTAAGGCCGCCACTATAGGCTTTGCAGAATAAACACTCAATGTAGGCAACTTCAGGCATCAAGAATACGTTAAGCGCACTTTTGTAGATTATACAAACTCCACCACCCCTACTACCACGGTCTTTCCTGTAAACTCGATATCCTGATGGAACGAATTCACTATCGTATATTTCATCACTGAGCCATGTCTCAGTCAGTATAACAATATCAGGATCGTTAGCAATAATTAGCCCCTCAAGCTCTGTGCTTTTATTGACTACGCTCCTACAATTGATGTTAAGAAGTTTCAGGAATCGATCATCATTTTGCCTTTGTCAAACCCGCCTATCACTTTTCAACTGAAAGCGGCATTTCTTGTCACTGTCCCAACCGTACATAACGCCGTTTACACTTAGCTTATCATAGATAAGCTTTACCTTAGCCCCTTTTTCCTTTTCGTCTTGAGCAGTTTTCCAAAGCATCCTTCGCTGCTCACGGACATGATGCGAAAAATTTTCCGCAATAGACAATAAAGTGCCTTTAAGTTTATGCGAAACTTTCAAAATTGACAGCTTTTCTTTATAATTCAGACACTTTATTACAATTGGACGATTTTTATTTTCCATACTGCGGTCTAACCTATGGATTCGCTCAATGCTGACCGCTTTAAGTCCCAGTTTTTCTTCTACAATGTCCTTATTAAATTTCTTTTCCAATTCTTCATGTGTCTCATTCTTGGGTTCATAAAGACCATAGATGATTAGGTTATTTCGGCGACTCCTATTTTCTAAATCATCTACTTTGTCCCTAAGCGCCACGAAGTTTTTATCAAGGTGGGACATTTGGTCTTCTAAGTCTTTAATCTTATCGCCCAATGTGGCAAGACTAAACAGCTGTTTCTCCAATGCCTCCATTCTGTCGCTTACTGATGACAATTTCTTTTCTATCTTCTCATGAGAAGATTGCATAGATGCCATGGTTTCCATTATTTTTTGTTGTCCAGCCAGTAACTCACGCAACGTATCACTTTGGGAGGGACCGGGATTTGTTTCAATGTCGCCACAAAGTAATAAACTTTTTGCTAGGG